TGCCTCCTGTACCACCTCACTTTCTTGAAAGATTTCAATTTTTATTCCATCAATTCCTGGTGCCTTGTTCTTTGCCAATTCTTTTAATGCACCTTGGACTTCCTCCTTCAGTATCATTGGCTCTTGATCATATGCTACCTCTTGAAATGGTTGAACATTAACAATTTCCTTTTTGTATAGTGACTGTTATGTATTCCTTCCATGTTCTCTTGCTGCTTTCTGTATCATTCAATACTTTGCCCAGAGAATCTTTCAATAATGAAAATCGAGGCTTGAATTTTTTCTTCAGTTACCCCAGCTTGAGAAATGCTGAGCATGTTCTTCCTTTCTGGTTTTCTGATTCCAGATCTTTGCACATTTTGTTGTAATATTTGACTTTATCTTTTGAGGCTGCTTAAACCAAGTGGGGACCATGTCTGACTTCCTCTGACTTCAAAGGGGGAAAGAGAATCAAACTCAAAATCGGCCCAAAGTTGATTCCCATAAAATGAAGGTCAGAGATGCTTCTACCCTACGACCTTCTTTATCCTATCATGACAATAACCATCCCTCCCCACAGCACTCACAGCTTCGCATCTGGGTCCGTTAATCCATTGCAATGGCCAAACCAAACTCATAACAATACTCACAATTATAGGATTTATTAGGGAAGTGAACAGGGTACAATTTAGGATCAAAAACAATTCCAGATACAGCAGTTGTACAGTCAGGCATGTTTTTTTCTCTGCAGTACTGCAGATCTGCCTTTGGCCTCTCAGCCATGTGGCCCTTTGGCCTCTGCCCCCTTTCACAGACCTCTAGCCCTAAACTGCTTTGTCTCTCCATGCTACTGTCTCTGCTGTCAGCACTTTTCTAGGTAACAATCTCACACTCCACTCATGCTCTTCCTTAATCATGGTTCTGGGATCTTCCATTTCTATGTCCTGAAATGGCTCCTTTTAAATCTAGCTAAATGACAAAACTAACCAATCCCAGCCTTAGAGTCTTGCATACCTTATTTGCATGGTCCCACCCAATCAATTAGTGGGAAGTAAGAAGACATTGGGTAGAAAAGTCACATCAAATAAAGTTAAGGTTCCACAGAGGCAATCACTCTTCTATGCAAAGAAATTTGGAGGCCAGCTACCTGGCCAACTGATTGGAAGTCCATTCCAAAGAGAGGTGATGCAATATAATGTGGATGTTATCAGACAATTTCATTAATATATGCAAATAATTTTTTACTAATGGTAACTCAGAAATGACTGCTAAAGT